AACAATAACTAACAGTCAACATACATGAATTGGAAGACAATTTTCTTGGCATGACAAGCCATTTATAAAATACTACAATCTACTATGACACTCAGTGGCAGAAGAGTGAATGTCCTGAGGAGACCAGGGACAAGACACGGATGCCTGCTTCTGCCACATCTAGTTAACATTGTGCTGGAGTCCTTGCTGGGCAATTCGAGGGCATCCAGACAGAAGAGGAAGAGGTACAATCAAGGGTCCACACAGAGGACACGAGCATGAAATAAAAATACGTTAGAGAAGCCACCAGGGAAACCATCAGAACAAACAAATTCAGCTGAGTTATAGGATACCAGACCAATATACAAAAATCAACTGCATTTCTATACTAACAATGAACAACCAAAAATAATCTTAAAAATGATTCCATTTATAATAGCATTGAAAAGGATAAAATACTTAAAAGAAGCTAGCTTGACCAATGGGGCACAAGATTCATACACTGAAAACTAGAAAATATTGCTTAAAGAAATTAAAAGAAGATCTAAGTAGTACCTCATGTTTATGTACTGAAGACTTAAAATTGTTAAGATGACAAACTGCCCAAAGTGATCCACATATGTAATTCAACCTCTACCAAAATCCCAAATGCTGTTTTTTAAGTAGAAATATGCATCCTAAAATTCATAAGGAATTTCAAGGAAACTTGAAAAGCCAAAACAATCTTGAAAAAGAAAAGGGCTCACTTCTCTATTTCAAAAATCACAACAAAGCTATGGTAATGAAAACATAATGATAGACATTTACATTAAAAAATTTCAGAATCCAGAAATGAATCCATACATATTTGTTCATACATCAGAGTTGGGTGCTGAGACACAGGAGCCTGACCTTGACCTCTTACCACATGCAACGTACAGATTAACTCAAGAATGGAGCAAAGACCAGACCATAAGCACCAGAAGTGAAAATCATACAAGAGAACACAAGAGGATATCCTCATGCCCTGGATTTGGCAATGGATACCTGAAGCATGGGAAATAGAAGACAAAACAGATCAACTGTTTTAGCCAAGCTAAAACCTTGTAAACACCAAAGGATCAAGAGGGTGACAGAAGAATGACCAGCTGCAAAATGGGATAAAATACTTGCAAATTGTGTATATTGAGGATTCAGCATCTAGAACATACAAAGGAACGTTACAACATCATGGCAGAATGGGTACAGGACCTCAACAGACACCTCTCCAAAGATGACACACAAATGGCCCACAAACACATGAACACACACATAGCAGCACCATAGCATCAGTCATCAGCAAATCAAAACCACAAAGAGATACCACGCCATACCAACCAGGGCAGTTATGATTAAAGGCAGAAATGGACAATATGTGTTGACAAAAATGTGGAACACAGGAGCCCGCGTCCCCTGCTAGTGGGAACATTAAATGTGCTACCACTGTGGAAAGAGTTTGGTGATTGCTCAGTCACTCACAGAATCACCATGTGACCCAGACACTCTAGCCGAGGCACACACCCAAAAGAAAAGAAATGAGATGTCAGACACTCGCAAGTGACGGTTCACAGCAACCCCACCAGCACTGCACAATGGTGACAAGAACCTAATATCTACCAAGCAACACACAGTACAATGTTGTCTATCCTTGGGGTGGAATGATTTTTCAGCCATGAAAAGGAATGAAGTGCTCCTACATGCTAGCAGGATGGATAGACTTAAAGAACATTAGGCCAAGTGAAAGAGGCCACACACAAAAGGTGGCACATCACATGACTCCATTCATGACACATCCAGACAGGTAAGTTCTCAGAGTCAAAGCAGAGAAGTGCTTGCCAGGGCTGGTGGGGGATACCAGTGACCCATCATGGCTATGGATTTCCTTCTAGGAGGATGAAACTTATTTCAGAACTAGATAGAGGTGGAGACTGTACAATCTTGTGATATACTAAATGTCACTGAACTGTACACTTTATTTTTTTGGTGTCAGGGATTGAGGGTGCATAACTATTAAGCCACATTCCCAGCCATTTTTGTTTTGAGACAACATCTCACTGATTTGATTAGGGTCTTGCTAAGTTGCTGGAGCTAAAAACTTTCAATCCTCCTGCGTTAGCCTCCTGAGCCCCTGGGATTAGAGGAGCATGCCACCATACCTAGCTAGACTCTTATTTTCAAAGCCTTTTATTTACCCCAGGAAAAAAAATAATTATGCTTGCAAATACTTTCCAAGTTGGATGTCATTCTGTTATGGTTTGGATATGTGATATCCTTCAAAAGCTCATACATGAGACAATGCAAGAATGTTCAGAGGTGAAAAGATTAGATTAAGAGCTGTAACCTAAGCAGTAGATTAATCCACTGACATGAATTAAGTGGGTGATAACTATAGGCAGTGTGTGCCTGGAAGAGGTGTGTCACTGAGGGCGTGCCTTTGGAGTTCATATTTTGTCTCTGATTCATGTTCTGAGCTGCTTTCCTACACCAGGCCCTTCTGCATGATCTCTCTGTCCTCGGACCCAGAGCAGTAGAGTTGGCCATCCATGACCTGAACCTCGGAAGCCATGAGCTCAAATAAGCTTTTCTTCCTCTAAGCTGCTCGTGAGGTCCTTTGGCCACAGTGACAAAAAAGCTGACCAACACACATTCTATCAGACATTACTATTTCCATAATCCTCACAGAGAGTGATTATATAATGTACAAATACCCAGGCCCCAGGTGGAATCTGTTAAGTCAGCAGCTACAAGGGGAATCTATCCTAGTAATTCTTAGTATCAGAAACGTTACCTACTATTCAACACAATTATTTTTTGGATAAAAATGTAAAGATTTAACAATATCAAGGGTAGCAGGTAAAAGACATTAATGTTAGATCAACTATTAATGCTAATGACCAACTGGGCTTACTATAACTACTGACGAATTTTTCAAAAATGCCTTCTGGCTACAGAGGAAAACTACCTGAGATTTATGCTAAGTGCTTGCCCAATCAGAATGGATAAAGTTCTAATAAGTAGATGTTTTTTAAAATGATAACACTACCCCGTATTGGCAACAGGATTGGAATGTATTATCTTGCAATACTAGAAAGCATACAAATTGGTGCAACCTTTTGGAGAGAAGACTGGCAAAATGCATTAAATTTTTAAATATGCCTTATCTTTATCAATTCATGTCTCCAGCAGAAATTTAAACCCAGGAGAAAAATGAATGATTTTTTTAAAAAAAAATTTGTAGTTGTAGATGGACAGCATACATTTATTTTATTTGGTGCTGAGGATCGGACCCAGTGCCTTACACATGCTAGGCAAGAGTTCTGCACTGAGCTACAGCCCCAGCCCCAAAATGTTTTTATGTGGATGATCATCCTAATCCTGATTAAAATGATGAAACTGGGAACAACCTAAATGTCCGTTCATGGGATGGGAAGTAAATCACGACAGGAGAAAAGAAGGCTGGGAGGGGAGAGAACCAGGCACAAGCCGGCAGCACACTCCACTTTTCATTCTGATGCTTTTGCTGTCTGGATACAAGGAAATATTGAGCCACCATTAAACAAAGAGATCATCCACAGTCACCTTTACAGACTGAAAAAGGCTCTAGTACTACATGTCACTCTATGTGTAAAATGACCATCAACCTACCTGCCTATCTATAATAAGGGAGTGAACAGGAAGAACAGACCAAGGGCAAGGTTTTGGTACACAGCACGTTTGCTTTTATTCATTTCTTTCTACAATGAGCAAGCAAACAGAGGACAAAAAATGTTGTGTGGAAAATTTATGCAAAAGTAAGGGGAACTGCACCTGGATGCACCTGTCACCTGTCCATCACTCAGGACTCACTGGAGCATGAAAACCTACTGGTGGCCACCACCCTACAGCACACCTTGCTGTCCCAGCCAGCATGGTCACAAATGCTCACTGTGGCATGAACTGGAGATATAACTTCATGACACAGTGTTGTCCCTGAGCCACATTTCCCAGGGGCTGCCCTGGCATCTGTGGTCCAAGACACAAGCCCCTCTTGCTGTTACATGGCACTGCAGGTGTGTGGCAGTGAGGCTGACAGAGCACAGAGGCTGACAGGGCAGAGCCAGCAGCCACACGGCACGCTGTAGGAGGGTGCAGGGTACCTCCAGACCCAGCCCAGCACCTCACTCAGTCTCCACCTCCACAGTCCAAGGAAGAGACAATGTGGCCAAAGCAGAAGGGGTGCGTGGTCGGATTCCAGGCATACGTGACAGGTAGAGCTGTCAGGCTACTGGCACACTAGACATTCCAACTCTAAGACCTGAACCCAAGGGTTTCATTGTGGCTATTCAGGAAGACAAACGTCAAAAAAACACACAAAACAGGTTGCATATGATTGGGTATGGGGCAATCAGCTTAATGGACTCTGGTTCAGCCATAGCTACAAAAGATAGAGCCATTCAGAAAGGGTAATATTGACTATAATGACAGGAAAAAACATTACAATATGTCAAACAAAAATAACTGGTGACAAAATGAAATTAGCCCATTTTATCCAAATGAAATCAAAGAGAAAAGATTGAGGGATGTCTTCCACATAATAAAGTTCTTCTTTGCTTGTGCAATTATAAGTTTATAACTTTCCTTTGAGAAATTTATAATGTATTTTCCAAATATTTTCCAATGATCAAGTATTACTTTTATGAGAAGAAATGCTTTAAAAAATATAAAGAGTAGACCACTGCTGGGCGTGGTGGTGCACGCCTGTAACCCCAGTGGCTCGGGGGGCTCAGACAGGAGGATCATGAGTTCCAAGCCAGCCTCAGCAAAAAGCAAGGCACTAAGCAACTCATTGAGACCCTGTCTCTAAATAAAACACAAAAAAAAGACTGGAGATCTGGCTCAGTGGTCAAGTGCCCTGAGCTCAATCTCCAGTACCAAAATAATAATAATAATAATAATAATGTAGACCATTTCAACAAACATCATCACTCGACCCTCTGAGAGCACTCATGGCTGTGGTCACTCACCATCACTTTCCGCAGGGTGTACCTTCTGCACCGGATGTCATCCATCAGCATCTCATAGGGGGTCAGCTGGTACTCGATGGGCAGTGGGTTGTACTGCCGCTCCTGGACTTTCTTAAGTTTTACCCCATTTCGCAAATCCCTCATCACCTGGACCCAGAATCGGGCCTGAAAGAACCACAGGTCAAGAGGCATCAATAAGTAAATTTATAGTTTTTTTCTGAAAAGCTACAGTCATGTAGAATAAAGGAATGATTCAAGAGTACAAAATGCTGAGTAAACCAAACAAAAACAACTCTAAAAATAACATTTTAGGATACTTAAAAAAAAAAAGTCAGCCAAGAAGTCACAAGCGCTCACAGACAAGGTACTTGGGTTTAAAGCTTTACTCAAAAAAAGTCAGAATTCTGAAGTGTGCCTCCCTCTGACACCTGAAAGCTTCAGGGCGCCCACTGTCCTGTCACTGTTTTACTAAGGGCAGGACCCCTAGTGTGCATCATTGGGATCTGGAAGCAGGCCAGTGGAGGCTTGGCTCATGTCCCTGGAGCACATCCATCACTGGCCTGTGATCCAGCTCCTGCTCGGAGCTCTAGAGGGCAGACTCCACACTACTTACTCTGAAGCCCTGGGACCCTAATCCAGGAACTGTCTTTGGATAAATGAAGGCACTGCATGCTAGTCTTGCACCTAATCCTGAAAACAGGTTTGACTTTGAGTGCACGGAAGCGTACATCCGGGTACTAGTATCATTAGAAATGTTGGTATTTTAAAATTTCAAAAATTCCCAGAGATATGAAAGATGGCTGATAAAATAGGAAAGCTTTTAAAAATGGGAACAGATATTTCCTCACATGTTAAACCAGGCATTCAAATTTACGTCCGATCAATTCACACTACAGTCCTAAGTCACACTGTCTTAGACACTGAACAGCCAGGAAGTGGACCCCACTGCCTCACCCAGTCAGCGTTTTTCAGCTCATCTAGGTCTGTGCTGGAGTCGTCACTCTTCTCCATTTCTTGAATCTTCTTAAGATTCTACCGGTTAAAATAAAAAGAAAACAGGCATGAAAATTTCACTAAGCCCTTCTCAAATTAAAACTTCTAACAGATCAGACAAGATACACACAGAGGCATCACTGCGGGAGAGAAGTCCCTGAAAATGGATATAGTCTTATGAGGAAGCCTGGGGCAGCTGGCTCTAGGCCATGGCCCCAGTTCTCCCTACCTAGCCCCACACCACCCACCCTGGCCTAGGCGGTACTACTCCTCCAAAGGACACAGGGCCACACCTGCACCAGCCCCTCTCGGTTTCCATGCAGATGCCTTACTCCACACCATGTCCTGCCACCCAAGGCGATCCCTGCTGGGCACCCTCCCCTCCTCGCCCACAAGGCTCCCTTTCACTACTTCTTTTCTTCCAGATCCCAGGCTCAACAGAAACTTCCAGTTCTTTGGGAAGCCCCTTCCACCCCGAATGAGCTGGACCCTTCCCTCAAGAGACTCCCTTCCTCCAGGCCCTTATCAGCACAGTGGGCTTACATCTGCTGCACCATCCGTTCACCAAATAACTTAATAAATACATTGCAAGTGAAAAAAAGACCTTTTCAATTGCGTCAGTTCAACGTGTGCAACTTTAGGAGCATCCTGACTGTAACGCACATGTTCACATATTAATGATGAAGTTGCGGCCTGTCTCCTAGTTAGAGAGTCATCAACCCTACTGTATTTTTCTATGTGCTGAGATATTTACCTGCTTACACTTAGGCTGAATTTCAATGAGCTATATGAAATCTGACTTGTTTTATATGAGAATACAAATGAAACATTTCTTAACTATTCTTAGCTTCCTAACTCCTCCACTGGCCATCTGTGAACATGGAACACATCACCTGCTTCTTTTCCTTCAATAACATGAAAGAGTGCAGATGCAGTTACTCAAAACACTCAGGGAAAATGGAGTACAAATAATGCATTATTTCTACTCTCCCCAGGTGGGAGAAAAAGTATTTCTGGTTATTTCAGAATGTGTTTACACTTATTTTATTTATTTATTTTTTTAATTTTCTTTTTTTTTCCTTTAATTTTTATTGTTGGTTGTTCAAAACATTACATAGTTCTTGACATATCATATTTCACACTTTGATTCAAGTGGGTTATGAACTCCCATTTTTACCCCATATACAGACTGCAGCATCACATCGGTTACACATCCACTGTTTTACATATTGCTATACTAGTGTCTGTTGAGCATGAGAAGAAGATTAACATTAAACAGGGGTGAGAGGTGGGAGGCAAAAGGAAAAAGAAGGGAAATTGCATGGAAATGGAAGGAGACCCTCATGGTTATACAAAATTACATACAAGAGGAAGTGAGGGGAAAGGGGAAAAAAAAAACAAGGGGGAGAAATGAATTACAGTAGATGGGGTAGAGAGAGAAGATGGGAGGGGAGGGGATGGGGGATAGTAGAGGATAGGAAAGGCAGCAGAATACACTTATTTTAAAGAGCCAAGTCAAGTCTCCTGTTTGAGATGCTGTGATAAGATCCTTGCCACTCCTCGAGTCTCTGGTCTTGCCTAAGACACCCTCTTTGGGCCTCTTAACTTTAAAAGGAAACCACCACTACCTCCCTCACCAGGGCATGAGGAGATCACCTGCTGAAGTAAATCCCTGGCATGCTGGCTGGCATGCAGAAGGCTCCCAGGACAGCTCCCCGTACCTTACAAGTATAATAAATCACAGTTCATTACACCATAATATGTACCAAAATTTAAAATGCAATCAATTAAACACAGCAGAGATGGGCACATATAGATTTGGTAGAAAGCAACCCAAAACATACACATCTGGATTTTCTTCTGGGCCACCTCTCCAGGCCCTTGCACTCCTCTGGAGCTAGGCTCTTTCCCAATGCTGGTCTTACCCACAGCAGGGTGGTAGGGTCATGGTAAACAAGTTGCTAAGCCTCCAGGCAACTACCACGTACCCCTGCCATGGCCCATAATGAGGGGAACCAAGGCTCTGACTGGCTGAATAGCACACCTGGGGTCTTCCCCCGAGGCTCCCCGGTATGAATAGGCTGTGAGGCCTCACCAGGCTATGATAACAGTGGCCCTCCAGGCAACTGACATATCCTGATCCTACCCCAGTGGCTTATCCAACCCTCAGAACAGCTGGATGCAGTTCTACTTTATTTTGCTAAAATAAACATTCATGAATATTAATGAATTTTGATATTATGTAAGGAAAGAGGACAGAATTTATTACTTGTGGCTGGTCTTTGCAGACAGTGGGTAGTAACATCTGGCATGACCTTACATGGAATCTGAGTAGTGATCATTATTACTAAATTAGGACTCCACCGTTTCTACCTTTTTAGATACATCAAACTGGCACACACAATATTTCTGATATTCAAAATCCCTGATTTGTTTTGGTAGGGGTCAGGTATCTTTTTAAAAATTCCTGATGATTCACAACGGTTGTGTCCAGCCCAAGTCCACACTCCTCACCAGTGTCCACATCAGAACTGAGTGAGGAGGAGACCAGGCAGGGGGATCTGGTGAGTTTACTTTGTTCTCTGGTGGTGTGACTCAGGCTCCATTCAAAAAGAATGAATGACTTAAAGTGTATATTGTTCTAGTTATTTAATTTTTAACAGTTACAATGGTGAGAGGAAAGGGACTCCAGGTGGTGAACTGCCCCTGGGTTCCCAGGCAGGTGCTGTGGCAGCATGCTCCCTGTGCCATGGGAGCGGAGAATGCCTGGGTCCCCTGCTGCTCCTCCCCATGCAGTCCTGGGGCTGCACTGCTCCCCTTCCCAGAAGGCTTCAATGGATCCGAAGGTCCCAGAGCCAATTCCCTCACATCCTTCACCTTCACATCGTTGCTCAAATGTCACCTTCTTAATGGGGACGCCCTTGACCAAACTCCAAGCCACTGGCCCTCCCCCTGGTCTACATCTTCTTGCAGAGCACAGCCTGACTTCTCAGCTTACGATTCACTACTACTAACCATCTCCCTGAGTAAGAAAAGAGACTTTCACATATTCTGTTCACTGACAGGTGCCTGGCACATCACTGGCATTTAGTACGCATCTGTTCATAAGTGAATTAAGAACTTTCAACCAAGAATGTTTAAATGCTTATATGTCTTCAAGAGCTCTTAATAAAAGTCACCTTTAATTAAAAGAAGCTCAATCACAGGGAAAATTATTCAGAAGGAAATCTGCATTTTCTCCTTTCAATTCAGGATCTCCAGGGAAGCTGGGAGAGAGGTATCCATCTGTGCCAGAGAAATGTGCTCTGTAGCTCAGGAAAACCGCCAGCACCCACACTACACACCTCAGTGTCCCATCCCACACCCAGGCTTCCTCCCTGTCCAGGAATGGATCTCAGTCAAAAAAAAAAAGGGAAAGGAACCATTCTAGCACCTTACAGAGGAAATGAAGCAATCACAGTGCTAGCAGGTCAGGAAGGCTCCAGCAGCATCAAAACCCCCTGCTGAAACCCCCTGCCTGGGCCAGCCGAGCCCACGCAGCCGCACCAGCGCTCGGGCAGCCCCTGTCCCCACACAGCAGCAGCTTGCTGCTCCTGCCCAGCTGGAATGGAGTTCTCGCTTCACGTTCTCCCATCACTGGAGGCTGAACACATGGCAAGGATCAGTGCCAATGACCTCTAAACCAGCAGAAGGAAAATGGGAAGGAACCCTTCCAGGCCTGGATTGCTGACCACACTCCAGTGGTCCCCAGGATCAGACCCATAGGCAGAGGCTGGGAGGCCTCTGGCAAGGCCCAAGTCTCTCTTTCTTCGGTCGTTCATTTGCTCTGGTTTCTCCCCCACTGCATCTACCTTCTCACTCCCCTGTGCCAGGTTCCCAGTGTCGCTGCTGTGGCCCTCAAACTGGGACCTCTGATCAACAGTGCAGGGATATGCCAGAGAGCATTAAAGTGACAGGTAAACAGAACACATTTCCTGGAGTTAATTTTATTCCATGATAGGGCAGCGGAAGCTGCTGTCAGTTGCCTTCCAAGTTGGGAAGGAAATTTCTTCTACTGGCTGCCGAACTACAGGGGCTCCTCACTTCCTCCCTTCCAGGAACTGCCCTCACCAAAGGGGGCCCTCCTCTCTGGGGCAGCCCACACTTGTCCTGCCTGTGTGGAAGCACACAGCTTCAATCTGGGACGTCTCGGGGCCACCCCAATTTCTGGTGGGTCCGCTGCGGTCCCTGTACGCTCCCTCACCACTCTGGGTCCCCCAAGGCACTCCTCATAAACCTGAATTCAGATTTTACCCCTTGGAGTCTACTTCCTGGGGAAACTAAATCCATAACACAGGACATTAAAAATCATTACAACAGACACAGCAGCCAAAGTTTTATGAATTTTAAGGAAATCTTGACTTGCACTGGACTACACATCCCTTCAAAGTCAGCCGTTCTTTGGACCCAGAAATTTTCCGGCTCCTTCGTTTGGCAAAGGCCCTTTTCCTGTTGGGCAACGTATGCCCTGTGGCTGAGCAGAGCTGGTCCACTGCCAGCACCTCACCTCATCCTCACCAGGCAAGGATATGACAGCCCGACCCCTGTGACTGGCTTCCAAGACAGTGAACCTCCAAGACTTTGACCTAAATAACCAACAAATTTCCATGGGAGTCACTGACCTGAAAGAACATGGTTAGAGGACGGCCTCCCGCCTGTCCTGGGAAGGGGGGGTGGGGGTGGGAAAGCCCGTCCTAATTAGAACTGTGCCTAAAGCCAACTGGATGTCCCCATTATTCAGCCAACTAACTACTCCCTACCTTTCCCATGCTATTTTGAGTGTGATTCTGTCATTTACAATTAAAGTTGTGACAGAATGTGTCACCACAGGTCCAAGAGCCGAGTTCATGATTCTGTTCCTGTGCTCCTCTGGTGCAAGCGCAGGAGAAGCAGCAACCAGGTCCAGTCAGCATGGCTCGCCAACACAGCCACCCAACACAGGCCTTCACCGTCTCTGCCTCTGTCTGGGCTGAGCTCAAACCCCAATTCCCTGCTACTAA